AAATATAAGTCAAATGCTGAGGTGGAAAACGCTGTAAATCAATATTTTTCAGGTTTAGACAATCAATTTTTTTCTGACGGTTTAAAAGAATGGGAGAAACGTTGGACCAAATGTATCGAGTTGCAGGGAGACTATGTCGAGAAATAAATTTTGTTTTGCTTCGAAATATGTGTTTATCTTAAAAAGGTCGGAAACTTTTCAAATGACCCTCGTAGTAACGATACCTGTTCTATATAATATTTGTGAAAGTTTTGAGAATATTGTGAGGTTCAATTTTTGTCTGGAGAACAACATGTTGAGGCCCGAGAAAGTAGAATTGAACGAGATGACAAGGACGTTACAAAACTTGACAACTGGTTACAATCTTATAACCCTTTCGTATTTTCAAATGAATTAATATCATTAAGTACTGGAGATCAAGAACATATTAATTGCTTTCTAGCACGAGAAATTGGAGAATCGTGCATGAACACTGTAGTTAACAAGTGTTTCAAGGATATCATATTAAAATGCTGTAATAGAGTTCGTTCACTGGCTACAGTAAATTCATCAATAAAGATTCACAAAAAGCAAGTAGTGGTGAATCCTTTAACGCTATTTCAGAGAATAACAATAGCCAAAAAGAAAGACAAAGATCTTGCAGAGTACTTGAAATTTGAACTTGCTCCGTATCCCCTTTTGCTTTTTTGTGAGTCTAGAATGCGAAAAACACAAAAATTTGCAGTGTACAAAATTTTGCAGGAATATAACGGAAATATTTATGACGTAATACATGGACGTATTACATACGTAATAGATGGAGGATTTCTGCTACATCGTGTTATATGAAACATTAATAAGACATACAAAGATATTTGTGCTACATATGTTAATTATGTGAAAAAAAATTACGGAGACAATTGCGTAATTGTATTCGACGGTTATAATAATACTAGTAATAGCACGAAAAGAGCTGAACAACAGCGACGTACTGCGAGCAATTCATGTTCCGACATTATTTTCCAAAAGCACATGGTAGCCACCGTCTATAAATTCTTAGGCAATGACAATAATAAAATGAGACTCATTTCTATGTTACGAGAAAAACTGGAAAACGAAGGATTTGTTGTAAAGCAGGCTGAAAGTGATGCCGACGGTTTGATTGTACAAACAAGTATAGAAGTTTCTGCGACTCAACAATCCATAATAATAGGAGAAGATATTGATCTTGTCATGTTAATTTGCCCTAACACCTGTAGATAAAAACATATTTTTTATTAAACCAGTGTTCTGTCGTGGTGTGTAATGAACAATAACGATGTATGTGATTTCTTCGTACACTATATATTTCGTAAGAACGTCTGAACACGTTACAATATTGACACGTCGAGTATTGTCTTGTCACGTAATTCGAGAATCTCGACAACGCCTAGGGG